TTATTATATTTTATTTTTCAGACTGAATCAGACAAAGAAAAAAGAAAATGAAGCAGTTGATTCTGGAGAATTACTCTGACATTTCAGGTTGAGCCGCAGCTTCAGGTTCACCTGCTGATTTTAGTCCGAATCAGTGTTTTTCTTGATATACAGTATAAAAAATGACTTGATGAACAAAATAATATTCTTAAATGTGACCTCTCCTATTATCTTTAAAATATAACAAATTAAGCAGATTTTATAAGATTAAATTGATGAGCTGCTTCCTTTTTTTTTAAATGAAAGCCGCTGAAGCCACAGTTACATCAGAAATGTCAGAGGCTTAATCAGCCGCTTTCATTTTCTCTTTTCTGTGTTTTAGACTTTGTTCAGTCTGAATGAAGGTGTTTATTCTCACACAGGTGATGATGCAACTCAGATTCCAGCGCGCCTTGAAGGAAGCGCTCATGGTGTTGCATCATTTTGTATATTGAGTTGTATCCCACTTGTAACCGTTTTGGTCAGACCTTAAAAACACGATATGTTGTGGAAAAACTCTCAGCTACTACTCTTTAAATTTCAGCTCATTATCTATAACAGTGACCGAGTTAGGATCATTTATGTGTAAACAGAATCTGGTCAATTGAGAGAGCCATCTTTAATCAGATCGACTCCAAAAGTTAATCAKTTGTAAATATACATCTAGTTATTACTTCCTGAAAGTTTTATTTAAATCTGTCCAGTGGTTCATGAGATATTTTGCTAACAGACAAACGCGGCTGACTCTAAGAGTTGATACAAACTTATTAGACAGATATATTTTGCCATCTGATAGCCCTCATATTTTCTGTTGGGGATCAGTCTCAGCTACCAACACACCAAATCTGAAGTCATTATGTGCAGAATCAACAAAGTCATAGCCGCTTTTGTGTTTTCAAATTATAGTTGACTGTGGCAGTCTGTTTGAATCGGATCGACGCCTAAAATTAATCAGCTGTAGGTTTACATACAGTGAATGTTTCCTGGGAGTTTCAGTCAAATTGGTCCAACTGCTTATGAAATATTTTGCTAACAGACAGAACGCAAGCAGAGACGCGGGCAAAAACATGATCGTAATTCATCTTCTTTCAGCGGCGGGTGATAATAAGGGCTACATGAAAATCAACGTGAAAGGAAAGCATGGAGAATATTTTTTTTTTGCTTTTTAACACAAATTAGCAGTTTTTTCCCGTGAGATAAAAAAGAGACCAATTAATTAAGCTGTTATAAATCCGGATGTAGGATTTTTTTTTTTATTTACTGGAAAAAACTTTTGTTTTGCTCGCATCCTTTGAAGGTGAAATTCCCACGTCTTATCTGTTTTATGAATGAAAGCCACAGGTGACGTTTAGAGCGCTCCTCAGGTGAGTTCAGAAAACGAAAAAATGAATCGTGTCTGCTTTAAAAAAGCTCCTCTGCAGCTCTGCTCCAACACAACAGCAGCTCCTTTCTGAACAGCTCTCTTCAGATCCGAACCATCAGGAGATATCTGTCAAAA